GGAACTGCCCAGAATCTTGCCAGGGGAGGTGTCTGAGGCCATCTTTGTCCACCTGTGAGAGGGTGGAACCCCGTCCTTTCCGTCCCCTGTGTGCCACCACCAATTTCTGCCTGGAAGGACTTGCCGCGGCTGCATTGTCTCTGCGTCGCAGGGTGAATGCAAGTCCTTGATTGCTCTTGTAGGGTTAAAACAGTTTCCTCTTTGAAATGCTGGCACAGTACAGTGGATCTGTGGTTAGTCTTTCATGCCTTTATTTGGCAGAGTTGAAGCTTGTAGTCCTTTGTGCCCACATTTCTTCCTCTTTCTTCGCCTTCTTCTTCCCCCCTCTCCTCCCTCTCTCAGTTTTGGTTTTAATCTCACTGGTTCACTGAAATCTAAAGGTCAGGACATCACTGTTACAACTGTGTTCTCCCACTTGGTTTGGGAAAGACTCAGTCCTGTGAGCACACACACACAAACACACCTGCCTTGATCATCTGTTAGTGTCGGGGCCTCCTGTCTGGTGGAGAGGCGATGGGGGGGCCTCCTTTCTGGTGGGGAGGCGATGGGGAGCTTTAGTCACACGGGTGTCTGCCCACCACATCGTTACTCTAGCCCAGAAAGCTGGAGAGTCGTGCAAAGCATCTTGTCCTCAGCGTGGCCGGATCCATCCTGCAAAGGCGAGAGTGTGTGTCTGTGCGTATACCTGCCTGTGTTTTTGTGCAGGGGTATATGTGTGTACACACGTGCACGCGCACGTGTGTGTCCGTTTGTCTCCCGTCTCTCCCTCCCTTCATGGCAGTGCCCAGGCAGGTGGACTTGGTTCTCCTGGGTTCACTTGCCCCTAGTGCACTGTGTCTGAGCCCCTGTCCCCTGTGGTTGTCTTGGCAGGTTCTCCCATGGGCAGGTGGTCTCTGTGGACGAGCTGCGCCCCTTCCAGGACCCAGACCTGAGCTCCCTCCAGGCCGGCTCTGCATGTCTGGCCAAGCAGCAGGATGGCCTCTGGTACCCAGCTCGGATAACCGGTGAGGCTGCCCACAGGCCTCTCAGACAGAGCTCTTACTGAAGAGCCCCGTTCCGTACCCAAGTGGAGCGAGGCCACCCTCCACCTCGGTCCCACCTTCTTTCCCACACTCAGTGTGGTTCCTACCACCTGTTGAGGCCACTGACCTGGCCTATCTTTGTCCCCTGCCCCCAGATGTGGATAACGGCTACTACACAGTCAGGTTTGACTCACTGCTGCTGAAGGAGGCTGTGGTGGAGGGGGACGGCATCCTGCCCCCACTGCGCACGGACCCCGCTGGGTCCTCGGACTCCGACAGCAGCGACGCAGATGACGCCAGCTACGCCAGAGGTACGGCAGCAGGTCAGGGTCCCAGAAGCCCTAGTGCAGCAGTCGGCCTGCGAGGCTTCCGGCTGGTGGGGCCTGTGACCGTTGAAACAGACAGTTGGACAGTGTGACTGCAGGGAGGTGGGCTGTGCTCAGCAGAGGGGGCGCTCGTGCCTGAGGAGGTGGGGGAAATGAGAGAGCGTGTGCAGGCTGAGGGGGGGAAGTTCCTGAGACCCACAGAGGCAGAGACCTGGCCCTTGTCTTCAGGGAGCACATGTGAGGGTTACAACTCCACACCCTGCACGCCGAAGCGTGTGTGCCGAGGCAGGGCTGACACACAAGTCGGCGTGTGAGACAGGGCCGGTGGGCGTGGAGTGCAGGCAGGAGCAGCTCCTTCCAGTGGTCTCCCCATGGGCCAGGTGTCTGGTGGATAGAGGGGAGGCTGGGTCCAGACAGCCAGGGGCAGGAGAGTTTCAGGAATAGCTGGAGGTGTCCAGCCCTCCCGATGGGTCAGTTAGGATGTACAGGGGAGGTATTCCTGTGGAATCTGTTCTGTGAGTTGGTAGTTTCTGAACCCCCATGTCCACGGGGGCGGCAGGGAGGACCGAGCCATGAAGTCAGCAGTGACTTTCTACCAGGGGAGGAGGGGAGCTCACTGCCTGAGAAGGTGGGTCAGGGGAGGGCTCCAGGGGGGAGGGGCTGCCATGTGACCTGCGGGGGTGGCACTGAGGTGTGGGGAGGGCTGCAGCAGACCCTGCCCCACTCTGCCAGTGCTCGGCCTTAGAGTCATGTGCCAACAACAGGTCTGAGCAGTCGATGGAGGTGCCGGGCATCACAGCCCTGGGCCAGAGCTGAGCTCTTGGGCTAACATGGGCTGGAGCCCGGGGTGCTCCATGTCCAGTGGGGCCGAGCCACTGCCCTGTTTCCTACAGTGGTGGAACCTGGTGCTGCTGACCACGGGACCTGCAGCTCCGCTTTTGCTGGCTGGGAGGTGCACACACGGGGCATTGGCTCCAGACTCCTGGCCAAGATGGGCTATGAGTTTGGCAAGGGTGAGTGTGTGCTGCCCTGGGGAGGGGAGGGGGCGACCACAGCCCCGCTCAGGTCCAGCAGCAGCAGCACTAGTCCTGTGTGCCCTCAGGTTTGGGCCGACATGCAGAGGGCCGGGTGGAGCCCATCCATGCTGTGGTGCTTCCTCGAGGGAAGTCGCTGGACCAGTGCGCACAGATCCTGCAGGAGAGGACCAAGGGCAGCAAGCCTGGCACCCAGAGGCCCCCGAGATGCCGGGGGAGCGGGGGTGGGCGTCCTCCCCCTCGTAGTGTGTTTGACTTTCTGAACGAAAAGCTGCAGTACCGGGCCCCTGGGGCCCTGGAGGCTAGGGGGGCCCCCCCAGGGAGGAGGAGTGGCAAGGAAATGTACCATGCCAGCAAGAGTGCCAAGCGGGCCCTGAGCCTGCAGCTCTTCCAGACTGAGAAGAAGATTGAGCAAACCCAGCGGGACATCCAGGGCATCCAGAAGGCCCTTGCCCGAAACACCAGCCGGTACGTGTGGGGCCGAACCCAGGGCAGAGGGCATACCCCAGGGTGGCAGTGCCTTCAGCCCTGCTGTGGGCATGAAGCCCACAGTTCCCACACAGGAGCTTGCTCTGACCCGAGGGTGGTGGCTGTCTGAGGAGGGTCTGATGCTTGGAGGAGGATGGGCAGTGGCCACAGCACTGTGGGGGCTTCGTGCCGGTGGCCCAGCAGCCCATGCTGAACGGCAGGCTCCTGTCTAGGCACAGTGTGACGGCAGCCCAGCTGCAGGAGAGGCTGATGGGAGCCCAGCGGGAGCTGGGGCAGCTCCAGGCCCAGGAGGCAGGCCTGCAGCGCGAGCAGAGGAAAGCAGACACCCACAAGAAGATGACTGAGTTCTAGAGCTCCTGTGTGCGCGGCGGACAGAGCTCAGGGCCCCCGGCTCCTGGCTGCCCTCTGGAAGACTAGCTGTCACCCGACAACTGGATGCTACTGAAGAGGGGCCCCCTGCTCCCAGACTAGCCCCCATGGCCAGCCTTCTCCCTGGCCCAGGGCATGTGGACACTACCGAATGGAGATGGGGCTGCAGGGGTCACGTCTGGACACTTACTTGCCTGTTGAACCCACCTGCCAGTGTCTTAGGGGGTCTCCTTCGCAAAGACATTAAAGTGGTCGTGTTGTGTCTTTCAGTGAAGGCTCAGCTGGCTTGTGGGGTCTTTGGGGGCAGAGGGGTCTCTGCACAGGGCCATGGGGCCGGGCTGGAGGGGCCCTGAGTGAGGCCACTGCCCTCTGCCCAGAGGTGGAGGGCCCAAAGGCTGGCATTCTCCTTGCTCTCTCAGGCGGGGCTCTACCAGCAGCCCCTCCCGCATGTTGCCTGACCCCCACAAGTGTGTGGGACTTGATGCTGCAGCAGGGGGAGGAGGTTGTGGCCAGATGAGTCCTTGGGAAGCACCATGAATGAGGCAGGAGGACCTGCTGGGGTGGGTTTGGAAGTCTGAGAGCCTGGAATCAGCCCCAGGATTTGGCGGCCACGAGACCGTCCAGTTCCCGTGCTGTGCCTGTCTCCTCGCTGGCACGTGCCCACCTCACAGAGCAGAGACCACGTGAGTTAGGCTCTGGGAGCAGTGCTGGCGTGCCACATGCACCCGCCAAGTGATGTCTAGACCCCACACGGGGGCTGCAGCAGGAGCGATGGCTGCAGAGCGTTGAGTGGCTGTGTGGGGAGATGCATAGGCAGGAAGTGAGGTGGGGAGCTCGGCTGAGGGCTGTACAGAGGCACCTCGCAGGGTGCCCAAGCCGCCGGGCCTGCTCCACACCGGGCTGAGGAGGGGCCACCACGCGCGGGGCTTTGGTAAGTGCCTGTTCTGGCCTCCACCCTGGTCAGGTCCCCAGACCCCTTGGTGCCCTCCTGGGAGCAGCTGAGGGTTGGGGTCTGGGAGGACCAGGTTAGCCATCCCAGACCCTCTTACGAGCTAAGCCCACTCTCCCTGGGTCTGGGCAGACTGGCCCCCGTCTCTAGAGACACCCCACCCCAGCAGCTCTGCTAAGATCCCAGGAGGAAGACCATGATCTGATGGCAGGGACAGTTGGAGGGGAGGGGTGGAGAGCCAGGGAGAAGTGGGGTGGGGGCAGTCAGGGGATAAAGCAACCTCTCCCTGCCTGCTGACCCCTCCCCTGCCTTTCCAGCCCCTCAGGGGACAAAGCTCAGCAGTGGATGCCTAGGGGGACATCACCTGAGACAGTGGCCTGTGCCTCAGAGGGCCAAAGGTGTGACCTTAGGACCTCCCTGGGTTCCAAGTTTAGGCTACGGTGACCACAGCAGGCCCTTGGCCTGCTCACAACTCCCCTGCCCCTCCTCACCGGCCATGCTCAGCTACCGTTTGGGTCATCCTCACCCACTCAGGTACTCGTGGGGCCAAGCAGAGCACACCTCCTTCCATGTCACGGGGAGCCCCCCTTCAGAGGTGGGAAGGTAGCTGCTAGGGCCTGGACTCCATGCTTCTGTAGGAAGGAGGGGCTGTGGAGCCTGGGGTTTCCTGTGTGCTGAGTCAGAGCGCCCCAGGGGGAGGAGACTGCCCAGCAGCTTGAGGTGCAGCAGGGGGGCTGCCAGGTAGGTGCCCAGCCTCTCCGCCCCCAGCACCCTGTCTTCTTGCCCCCAGGCCTACCTGCGGCTTCGCAGGATGGGGCCACAGGTGCCCTCAGCCCCTCCTGCCCTCTGGGTCCTCGGGTGCCTTGCCCTGTCCCTCTGGCTTTGGACACTGTGCACGGCCTGCCACAGGTATGTCCATCCCTCACCTGGGTTTGGTGTGGGGCACGGCTCCAAGCAGGTTTGGCTCTGTGTGTGAGCCTCCCTACTGGGCCTTGCACCAGAGCCTGGCACCTCAGCCCCCTATCTCTGCCTCCCTGGCCTGATGAGACTCTTGCCCCCAGGAAGCGGGTGCGGAGGCAGCGGGCCAGGCCCCAGGGCGGTGTGATGCCAGCGGAAGCGGTGAGTGCCAGGCTGTCCCGGGGGCCAGGGCGGGGCCAGCACAGGACCCACCAGCCTTCCTTGCCCCCAGTCACTGCTGAGACGACACCACTTATGCACCCTCAGCAAGTCGGACACCAGACTGCACGAGCTGCACCGGGGCCCTGGCGGCTGCAGAGGTGAGCCCAGCCGGGAGGGGTGGGACCCGGGGGTGGGCGGGGCTTGCACCCTGGAGCAGCTCCGCGGCTCCCCCCCCATCGGTTCCCTGCCCCCCTGCCCCAGTAACCTCTGTCTTGACCCCTAGCTCTGCGGCCTGCCAGCATGGATATTCTGCGCCCACAATGGCTGGAGGTGTCCAGAGGCACCAGCAGGCTTATGGCAGCCTTCTCACACCGGGAACTGCACCAGGCAATGCCTGTTGCCACCTCACCCTCCATCTGCCCCGAGGCCACTTATTCCAATGTGGGGCTGGCTGCAATCCCCAGGGCCAGCCTGGCAGTCAGCCCTGTGGTGTGGGCAGGGGCACAGCTAACCAGCAGCTGTACCAGGCCTGGGCCTGAGGCCAGACCTGAGGTGGCTGAGTATGCTTGTATCCAGAAGCTCAAGGAAACAGATCAGGGCCCCCAAAGCCTGAGGCAGGGGAAGGCAGAGCTGACCCCAGCTGTTCAGGTAAACGAGTGGATGGGGTAGGGTGGGTAGGGCTGTACAGGTCCTTGAAGGGATATATGGTGCTGACCCCTCCTTGGGTTGGCTTCCTCTCTCCCAGGTGGACATCCTGTACTCCAGAGTCAGGAAACCTAAAAAGAGGGACCCAGGACCTGCCACAGACCAGCTGGACCCCAAGGGCAGGGGAGTAATTGCGCCTCTGGGAAGTGACCAGTCCTCCGAGACCCTTCCACTCAGGGGCCTGGGGAAGGATGATGGCCTCCTGGAAAATGTGTATGAGAGTATCCAGGAGATGCCCCTCCCCCCCAGCACCTGGAGCCCTCCTGCTCTAGCTGTTAGCATGAGTGCACCTATGCAGGCTTCCCCAGCCTCAACCTAGGGAGGGGTCTCCAACTCCCCATCTGCCTTGAACAACCAAGTATAGAGTTCCTCCTTCCAGAGTAGTGCCCAACCCCCATTCCCTATCCCCGCCCCCGAAGTTGGCAGCACAAAGTCCAGATCCCAAGGCTTCCAGCCTGTGAGGTCCCTGGGGGTCCTGGCTGCCATGGCCTCTTAGCCTCTCCCAAGGTCTTAATAAATCCCCAGCACAGGGAGGATGAATACAGCCGTGCCTCACAGCCTACTTTTCTTGAAGGCCGGGGAAGGTTGGCAGGGATTGTCTGAAAGGACCCTCCTGCCGGGGGTGTCTGGGCCCTGTGGGCTGAAGCTGTGCGCGGCTGGTCAGTTTCAGAAGACAGTGTGGGGAAGGGAGGCCAGCTCTAGGGGTGGTGGTCCCCAGGCCAAGTCGGTCTTAGCACGTGTTGCAGCCGGCCCGCGAGCTGGCCGCCCCAGGGTGGGACTTGGACCCTGAACACTAAGGGAGGGCTCCGCCGCCCAGCCCCTGGTGTTACATAAGGTACGGGGTAGGTGGGCAGTCGTGCGTTAAAGAATAACCTGCTCCCGGGAAGCCCGCCAAGGAGACGCGGCCCCTTCCCCGGATCTGGCAGCTCTGCGCGCAGGCACACCCGCGAGTAAGCCGGCCCTCCCCGGCGGCGGGGGCGCACGGGCACCCCGGGCTCCGCAGAGCCGAGGGACCGACAGGCACTCGCGGTGCCGCGAGCGGGGCCCTTTCCCCAGGCCGCGCTGCTGCGGCCGGCTCGGGGGCCGGGCCTCGGACCGCAAGCCAATGGGAGCGCGGCTGGCCCCGGCCGCGGTCCACCTCGGAATGTTGATACAGCGCGCGAACCAATGAGCGTGCGCCAGGGGCGGGGCCGCGAGGCGGGGCGCGCGAGCCGCGCGAAGGGGGCGTGGCCG